TTTTTTCCTGCCCCGTTTGAGGTCGATGAAAAAAGGGAAAGGAATTGCACCCTTCTCCACTTTTATCGCAAAGCGCATCTTTAAAAAGACACCATGGCAGCGTGCGACACCCAGAATTATCTTGTCTTGTCTGTCGCTTATTTTGCCCTCGCCGCGTCGTATCAACCTAGACAACTTGACTTGAAGAGTGTTCGAGTTGTGAGTGAAAACAGATGAAACCAAAAAGACTTAAATGAAAGGTCACTAGGTCACCGAGCGTTTATGTCGATCGTCAATTCATTACCCGTATCACGGAAAGTGGAAGGCGAATCGAAAAAAAGCGCCATTTCCTTCTCTGGTATTTAGATCTTTCATTAAAACTGTCGCCAGTCTACGCGTTGATAAGAGAATAATGGAATATTTCTACAATCATAATCAAGCCATGTTAGCCGTATTTGCAAATACTGAAATAGAATTGAACTTTCAGTTTAAGTCATTAGTCTTCAGGCAAAATGCTCACAACACTTTTAATTTATCTGAGTTATTTTCCACGTTTGTAACAAGGGAGCCTATATCCTGTTACCCTATTTAGAACTAATATCAAGATATCTTTTTTACAAACGTGGTCAGCCTACTTCATTTGCGGTTTCAAACAGTAAAACAATAAGACGAAAACATTTCTTTCGTCGTTACGTCGATGAGATCTGGCTAAAAAGAGGGTTGTGATTTTTAAATTTACCAAAGTGAGACAAAAAGCCTAGAAAGCATGTAGCATTAGTAAGTTATCATTACTGAGAAAAGAAGAAGGGATATTTGAATGATTTCTTGGGGCCAATATCATCACGTCTGGCCACAAGGCGCAAAAATTTTGGAACTCCGTCATCAAAGTATAAATTGACAATCAGAAAACTGATGAATTGTACACCTCTATCAAAAGATTCTGACAGAGACGTTTTCTGTAATCGCTAAAACAATCGACAGCTGGAATGAAAGTGTACCTTAAAACGACAGTGTTAAGAAATTCAAACATTTGAATAACAAATGTTAAATCCGTAGGAAAAAAAAGGTCAATAGATCACGTCTAGGAAGCATGAACCGCCCTTATTCTGCCTAATAAACATCACCACGGGGCGGATTAGTTTTGCACATTAGTTAGACTTAGTAGTTTGAATAACCCTGTTCAGCATAATAAACAGCACCGCAGGAAGTACTGCACTGCCACAGTACGTTCTTTGCAGTCCGAGTCAATAGTTAGAACCGCCTTGTACACCATATAAAGTACAGCACCACAGGAAAGTGCTGCCTTGGCTTTCAAACGAGTCACGCTATGGGATGTTATCTACCGACTCGCGAAAAATATAACCTTCCTTATTAATGTATACGATAATAAACATTACAGTACCAAAAAAGAAAGTACAGTTCAATAGAGTCAAGACTGGATGATTTCTTGTGGGAAGGGGAGCTTGACACTATGAGAGAAAAAAATGAAGTGAAAGCACACACAAAAACGCTAAATTTGCCATTAAAAAAGGTGACAAATATGCAGAATTTTTTATTAAAAAGAGAAAAACTGTAGGTGGAGATAGATTCATGCCAAGGAAACGTACGCCTTGTTCTGGGCGATAAAAATAACCTAACGTTCAATGCAAAGGAAGAGAGAGATTGAAAGATAGCTCTCAGCTTGAACTGAAATAACTTACCGCTTAGCAGGATCCTAGAATGTTAATGCACTATGGCATAACGTTAATAACTTTTCACTAAGAATACGGCAACTTATTTCGAAGAGGAACAAAAACAGCAATGATATGATTTCAGGACAAAAGTTTTGTTCCGCTACGATCTTGAGAACCCAAGATGCAGGGCAGTGGAGAGACCGTTCTGGCACAGTCGACACCACAACTTGCATTGCGATCGTCAATGGCGCGCACCGCTAGGGAGGTCTGGGGGTATGCTTCCCCCACCCCTCCCAAGAGCAATTTAAAATCACAACGAATGAAACGCCATTTTCAGTATTTTCCACGACAAGACATTTCTTAAGAAAAATTATCTTGTACAGCTGGGGATTATTTTCCCAATTTAGTAAACCGTTTTTATTTTTGGCTTAATTCTGGCGGCAAATTCCTCGTCTTGCTATTTACTAGATGTACTTTCCTAGTGTCCCGTCGATACAAGAAAATCTCCGCCTGTTAGCAAAGACTTAAAAATGTTGCCTAGAAGAACGAATACAGTGGAACCCCGTTAACACGGTCACCAATGGGCCAAAAGTATTTGGCCGTATTAACTGTGTGGCCGTATTAACGAGATAACGAGGGTTTTTTTACAAACTGGGGGTTTTTGCAAGGTGGCCAAAAAATGGGCCCGTAATAACGAGGTGACCGTAAGGCGGAGTTTCACTGTAATAACTGCCTCCAGGGTCTTGAATAAGTGTGTAACAAAAATGACAAAGCTCTTCTCCTCACATTCTGCACTCTTTTTCAGGGTTTCGATATAAATTCCATCATGGTGTTCGCCTTCCAGTCAATCGACTTCTTCCCCAGTTCACTTCACTTTGTCAAAAATAAACCATATTTGGAAACTAATTATCCTTAACTACCTGGTCACTTTACTGGCTTGAAAATGTAACAAGTACAAACAAGATTTCAGTATGTTGTTTTAGCAGAACAAATGTTTTTTGTTTAGCTCTTCAGCTGTAGCAAAATTTGCAGTTTCCACTTTGTTTTTGAATGTTTGCTGTTTTCCCGCCACTGTAAACCTGTATATTTGGTTCAGTTTTGCAATGAGCAATGCCAGCCAGCTCCGCGCG